TTCGAATTCCATATGTTCCTCAACTGTGAAAGTGCTATACTTGGTTTGCTTCAAATCCCCCTTGTTCATCGATGATGCTACCCAAATACGTGAAACTTCCCTATTCTAAGCAGTTTCTCCATTAAGTATTACTGAATTCGTGTTTTCCATGATGTACTTGAGGGTCTTGGTTCTTCCCTTGTGTGTGTTGAGGCCTACTGATGCAGAGGCTGCTACTAAACCATCTATTTTGTTCAGCATTTGTTGGTGTGTAGGAGATAGGAGGGTTAGGTCATCTGCAAAGTTCAAATCGTCTAGTCGCGTCCAAGCTGTCCATTGTATTCCGTGATTCTTCTCAGATGTACATGTCTTCATTATCCCGTCAACCACCAGGAGACAGAGGAGGAGGGAGAGTAGGCAACTTTGTCTGACTCCGGTCCTCACCCAAAATGCATCTGTCAGCTGACTTCCGTGAACGAGTTTGCAGTGTAGTTCGTCCTATAAATTGCGTATGATGTTCACGATCTCAGGCACACCACAGTGTCAAAGAAGGTTAGATAGTGTTCTTCTATCCACACTGTCAAATGCTTTCTCATAACCAAGGTGGTTGATGTATAGTGAGTTCCATTCCATTGGTCGTTCAACAGGGATCTGTGCACGACCGATCCTCACGGAATCCGGCCTGTTGATTCTGAAGTTGTGCGTTTATTGAATCTCTCACCCGATTCTATTGAAGACTTTTCCTGATACTGTTTTTAGTGTGATGCCTCCGTAATTCTCATACTTGTCTTTCTTTGGAATCTTGATAAGGTGTCCTCCTTTCCAGTCCATCGGAACTTGATCTTCCTCCCAAATCTTCTTGAACAGAATGTGAAGAATGTTTGCTGTCACTTCTGTATCTGTCTTCAGTGTTTCAGGTGGTATATTGTCAGGTCCTAGTGCTTTCCTGCTCTTCATTTGTCTGATCGCAATCCTAATTTCTTCGTTCTTTGGTGGAGTAATATCTATGAGAACGTTTGTGAGTGTTGCTTCGATGTCCGGTGGATTCAATGGAACTGGCCTATTCAAGAGTTCCACGTACGATACATCATACACAAAATCAGGAATGATCAAAAGAAATGATCGCAGCTGAACGCATTGCGTGTGTTAAAAGTCCCACAGAGACTGTCACCAAAATGCAAGTGAGTTACCGAAACAGGTCATCAAAACCACCAAGATCCATGTTACATAGTAGGCCACAAACGTTCAGACAATCTGGATGGTTCTTTTAGTATCACTGGAAGTTTGGTTTTAAATCAACCAGATTAAGTCAACATACACCTGATCTAAACAGGCTCCTAAGAATACGGGAAAAAAATAACCCCTCCCCAAGTCGCAACGACTGAGATGAGGTGCCTAGACAGTCTCTTGTTTCATGTTAAAGATAGAAATATGCCTTTTGAACAGGTGCATATAGACGATTTGTTGATTACCAGTTCAGATTTAATATCACACAAACAACACATGAAAGCAGTGTTGAGACGTCTGGATGAAGATGGGGTGAATACACGTAAAAATATGTTTTTAGTGTTCAAACTTTGCACAGTAAGCCCAAAAGGGAATACAGCTATCGAAGAAGAGATGGACACCATTAGACAATACATAATATCAAGTTCTCTCATACGACTTAGAAGAGTCCAGGGTTTAGTTAACTTTTACAGTAGATTAACACTCAGTCATATATAAGTGTTGCAACGTCTGACAGACTCCTTTAAAAAGAAAATCAAAAGAATTTAAACTGACTTCTAAGGCCGTTAAACAGCTAGAAAAGCCAGCTCAAGCATCTACGTTGATGTATCCTAATTCCTATTACACTCTCGCTTTGATGGTGGATGTTTCGGACAAAGTAGTAGGGAGTATTATTAACTAACTGGTTGAAAACGCCTGGAAACCGATCGCGTTCTTCTCAAAACGACTCACTCAAGCAGGGACGAGATACTCTCCCCATAGACGCGGACTCGCACTACACCTAGCTATTAGGCGTTTTCAACATATATCTGAAGGCAGATAATTCATGGTTTATATGGATCATAAATCACTAACCAATGAATTAAAAGCTAAAGCCAATGAATATCATATCATAGGCCGAGACATACAGGAGGTAGACGCATTATCTCGGCTAGAAATGAACATGATACAACAATCCACATTGTGGCTCATAGTAGAAAACCTCATTCATTTTGTCCACAACCAAGTAAGAGAGAAAAACAAATGGCATGAAATGTAAGGATAGTTAGTGTTAAGAAGAGAATCAAGTGATTAGACATATTTGTTTTTACATTTGTACGCTGAGAACAGAAAACCGAAGGCCTGTGTTAGCCCCTTTCAATCCATATTATGTTAGACTCTGGTCTTCATTTGAACAAGTCAATTACATGTGAGGATGCTCCTTCTTCGAGTAATAAGTTTTTTGGCAAAATCCGTATACCACGATGATTTTATTCGTTCTCAGCTTTTGACACTTCTTCTGTTCTAATCTATTGGCTTAGAAAAAAAAGGATATATCAGGCCCAAAATTATTTCTTTATATCAAAATCAGATCACCTCCCATACATCTGAAGAAAGAGTAAAAATATCTATGTTCTAGGCCACCCTGGTTCTGCTGAACATTATAATTCTGGAATTGCATAGGTAACTGTCCTATGTACTTATTTTAAGATATTAGATGACAAGGACAGCGGTATATTTAGAGAAAGTCTGCAATCTTAAAATTACAAATCTCAAGGTGAATTTGTTGTTTGACACAGTAAATATTACCGCGCTTAAAACTAGTCTGCTGGGATCAAAATTGTATTTTACTGATGGGGACAAACAATTTGAATTGTAGTGTGTCGTTTGAAATACCAATACGAGACGAGATCCAGTCTCCTAGGGCGTTACGCCTGCTTTCATCTCCGAATTATGTTCGGAATGATTCTGACTTAAATGAAAGGCTAGAGAAAGCTCGGGAAAGACGATCTAACGTTCTGGCTGTAAGTTGAAGAATAGGGATATATAATCTTTCAGGAAACTATAAATCGAAATGAGCAACATGTCCATTTAGCTAAGTCTAAATGTGAACAAGAGAAAGAGAAGCTCGTAAATCGATCAAATGAATTAATGGAGAATCTCACGGAGGATTTGGCACAGAAGTCGTCTAGGCGGCAACAGATTATCGACAAGATAGTTAATAAGAACAAGAAAGAAGTAAAAAAGAAACGTTATAAGTTGTCTTTTAGATTGAGAAAGCAAAACAACTTGCGGATGCCCGTGCTTCCCCACAAAGTATCCTGCTTCGTCAGATCAACGACGATATGTCCAATAAGGAAAACAACAGACGTTCTCACCTACAAAATATAGTTCATCAGTGCCAGCTGGAGGTAGATCCATAGTTATGTATTTATGTATTCTTCATAGCCTTGTCATTTTTTAAGTGGGTTTAGAATTCTGGGGATCTTAGGGTGACACGCATTAGTAATTATTTTCACCGGCGAAACCTACTACAATACCAACGCATATAAAACGGTATAGTCAAGCCTCATGATAGCGTCTTAATCAGCCTCAACGTTCCTCAGTGACACCGAGTTTGATTACAGGTGCCACAGCAAACCCAGTTCACTAACATCAAGCCTAGTATGTGTAAACTAATCATTTACTTCTTAGGCATAAATGTCCACCGCACTGTGAATTCTCACCCAAGTAATTTTTCGCAACGTATTGCTCCTTTGATTTACGACATGGACCAAATCTATTTGTAAAAGGCTATTCCTATCCTATCATGTATATTGCTTTTTACTGGCTGGCCTTCTCTTGATTTTCACATTCAGAAAGGTTATAAGAAACCTCCGAAGTGAGAAAATGCACACTATCTACAAGGTAATACTTAGTTGACAGTTCATAGGATAACTGTTGTCATTAACGTCGACCCTTCAAAATTAACCAACAGTCATATGATGACGATTTCGGAGTCCTGATTAGACTCATAGCCTCTTCGGGAGATAACACAAAGGGCAGTGTGTGTGGTTCAAAACGGTTGTTTTACTGTTCCCTACATTTAATCTTTAACGAACTCTGTCCTCCAAAATACTATTTATTAGTCATACCGAATATACTTATTGTTTGCTATAAAGATTCTGCCTTTTCCTAAGTAGCTAAAACCAACGTAACCACTCACTCGACTGTGATTCGTTTTGTGCTGATTAGTTACAAATTGTGGTTGTTTATTTTTGTTGCTTAAAGCATTCAAAGCGCACTTAATAACTGCTTCATGTGAAATACGCGTATAAACTTGTTCCTAGGGGTAGTACTTATGATATTTTTAACCTTGAGGTACTCGGACTGTTTGTTATTCTTGTTACATATTCCTCTTAATGACTATTAAGTTGACTTCTTACTTTCTGCCTTACTAAGCAGATTTATGTTTTTTTCCAGATAGAGAAAGTCGAGTCTGTGCGACCTCGCCGGTCGATTAACGACAGCAGCATGGAATAAAATGTTCAAAAATACCTATCCGCTCCCTAATATTTTATATTAAGTATCACATCCCACTCTTTTGAAAAGATGTTCTGTATTCCTTAAACCCCAATTAATAAACGTAGAGTGACATAAATGTGATTTCCTATACTTTTTGGCTGGTTAGTACGAAGACAAAGACGAATTCGATGTTCCGTGCAATCCGCCACCAATGTTCTAATGAAAACAGTGGTTACTGTCACGTAATGATGGTAATCGTAGTACTTTTTGTATTCAATACCTTATCGTGGAAACCTCAACACAAAATATACGATATTTGCTAGCTTTGATATTGTCTCGACTCAGTTCATGGTCAAACCTTACCAGTGACTCTACTGATGTTTTTTGTAAGCATAACGCATTCAGTGCATTTAATTCTAAAGGATAAAGAGATAAATATACTAGATGCATTGGTGTCTGAGCAATAAACATCACCGATGTGAGTTTTCTAAACAAAAATGTTTGAGTACATTACTAACAAGTCAAAACATGAAGCAGAGCAATTTATTTCAATGCTCATAGTTTTTCCGAAAGAGTAGGTAAGGTATGATAGGGTATATAATCAGGATCTGTAAAATAATAACTATTGTGAAAGTCATAGCATCCAATTAGTACATCGTAGGAATCCGAGTTGGATGTTTTAATTGGTCTTGTCTGTACGTCGATTGACTGGGCGGAGAATGTGCTGGCCAAAAATCTGAAAAAGAACGAATTGAAATATTAGTATTACATACACATTAAACCGAATATAAGAGGCATATGGGATTTATTTGTTGGAGTATCCTCACTTTAAACACCTACAGATGGTCCCACCTTGACTCTACCTACTGTGAAAAACTAGTTAGTGAAAGTAGCACATGGTTAAATTAGAATTATATATATTACTGCTAAAACCGTGCACGACATCCCAGCTTTACTTCAGTATGTTGCGAACTGATTAATGGAAAGGTTAACATAAATGACTATCAACTATGTGATATTCTTGTTAAGTATTGATGGCATATCTGGGTTGTTCCCTACGTGTTGAGTCGCACACAATCATTTGAGTACTTAATACATTAGCTGATATGAAGAGGACGATGTAGACAATGATATTTCCGTATTGTCCCAACGTCACTACGAGTAATATTCTATAGGTGACCTTGGCGAAGGTCAGTCGGCTACAACGTAGGACCAGGAATATATATATGTCGATACAAATTGCCATACCTCATTAACACAACAAGATGAACACCGGGTTCATAGAAGTAGTTAATTCAGTGGTGGTAATATATAAAGGAGAGATTGCATATAAGGATATTATGTAGGAAGAAAGAATTAGTTCGTATAAAGATACAAAGCAATTTTAATCTCACGGTTTAAGGGAAGACAGAGAGTTCATACACCTACGCCATTGTGATCGATTCTGAGCTATATCGCCTTGACGAAGGTGCATTATCGTAGCCTAGACAATTTACTCAGAGAAAACCTTTACAACCGTGATCATGTTGATAATGCTGGATGGCAGTGTACAGAATAGCACAGTTAACTGCTTAGTAGTTAGATTGCATGATACTACCACTTTTCCTCCAGAATTTCTCCAAAAGAAGCACTAGCGAAATAGCCGTCTGTATATTAAGAAATAGGATGGTATGTCGGCTCTGAAGTGACGTCTACTTTGTAGTATCTTCCTCGGCCTCAGGTCATTAGTATCGTCTATTAATAATCATATTGTGTTAGTTCGAATGTTAGACTTCCAATATATATTAGATGTGATGTACGTTCACTATCCCTTCGATAGAATCAGTATGACAAAAGAAATGACATACCAATGAATGGGGAGAACCGTTGGGTTTACGTTTGGGTGACCAAATATCTTCACATCCAGGTCCTAAACCAGAGTCAAGATGAATATTCGACTGACAGTTCTTTTCTTCATCACTAATAGAATTGTCCATTATAGAACGAAGATGTGAAAATTTAGAGTGTAGTGCTCGAGCGATAATTGCACATGGATCAGAACCACTAGAGCAAAAAACAAATGAACACAATTAATGGTAATAGAACTGCAATGAAAATTCGCTCTCACCACATAAACGAAACATCCTCACCTGATTGTGGGAGACTGTTTTTGTTTTATCGGTGTACCACCAGGTGATCTTGGTATTGAACGTAGTTTAATAGATCCACTTTGTAATTCTTTCAATACTTGTGACATATCGGCGGGATTTTGTGACGTCGACAAATTACTTTTTATTGGTGTAGATGTTTTATCCGTGGAATTATTCTAAAAAAAGACATACCAAGTTATTTTATAACTGAACAATTTCTCCTAAATTAAGAAGAATAAATAAGAAAATAAAAGTTTTTCTCATGTTTATAGATTTGGTATTCATTCCAATTAGTCCCCTTATTAGTGTGAACCCACAGCTGTAAATTCATAATTTATTTTACTGAACGTCGATTAATCACCATCATTATACCAAAAATGAAATTCTCCGGATAGCAACTCGTCAGTAGTTCAACAGGAATTTGATCGTATAAAAACAAATAGCATTCACTGAACTACTAATAAGAAGTACATTAGTAGTTGAACAAATATAAAAGAATAATTACATGTTAAATTATTCATCCAAAATACAAATTATATGCATAATCAATAGTCAGCTACAATTAAGAAAGATTAAAAGAATAAAGACCAATATTCAATGATCAACTAATGTAAATATCTCAGTATTTCAGGAGGTGGATCACTGTCCAAATAGTTCAGTGGCAACGCCTAAGACCGAAACGTGGAGACTCGTGTTCGAACTCACTAGGAATAATCACTTCCTTGGAGATTGGCAGTTTCATTTTGTTGGTAAATGGCAACTACAACAAAAACCTATATCGAACAGTGTCTTCTGAAGGTTAAACTAAAATATAGTGCACAAGATGTTGGATCACTTAAACTAGTAACCTATAAATCAACAGAGGTTTATCAATATTAAAAACTAAACAAATATGACCATGACAACTACTCAGTGATTTATGAATGTAAATAGACTTTTACCAGTAATAACAGATTCGGGAATGTTAAAATCCAAGAATATGTAGCTACTTCTCCCTGAGAAATTCATAATATTAAACAAAAGAGAATTTAATTGTTTCCGAAGTGAATATTCGACGTTTAAGCCGGGTTGATGGTCACGGAAGACCGGCTAGAGCAGTTGGAAAACTCTTATTCAGAACCAATGGTGTACATGGGCCCCAAGATCCTGAGGGAACAAATGGATTATGGACCTATTCTCGGTCACTAGCTGTCGTAAGACTGCATCTCCTAACGTTGTTCTACTGCCTTGTGGATGAGACCTCTTGGGAGTGAGTCACTTAGAAAACCACCTACTTTGGTTTGGGAACCCTGGAAGTATCCCAGCCGACAAAAATTCATTGATTTGTGTGGCGCATATATATATATATATATATATATATATATATATATATATATATATATATATATATATATATTGGTACCTCTTTGAACCAATGTTTATGTGTTTAAATAAATAAGTAATAAAAAACATGGTTAAATATAAAACATGTTTGAATATGTGTATGGAAAGGAAACAATCCAATGCAATAATTATTTGATATCCTCTCTCTCTTTCACACACACACACACACACGATAATGAGTACCTTTTCCGACAGATGGTAGAAAAAAGGTCCATCATCAAATACATTGTGATCTTAAGGAAATACTCATGAGAAATAATTAAAAAGGACAATTTTATGCTCAAAGTCTACTCAAAATTTTAGCATGAAATGTGATGTATGCAGCAATAAACCTTGTCGTTTGGTCTAACCGAAAAAAACCAACGATTAATCATGAAAAATGTTCCTAGCTGTGAATGAAAAATGACATACATAGACAGGACTAAATTTCTTTCAACTATACCTTTTTACTTCTTAGCTTTGCTTGCAATTGTTCTCTCCAATTACTACTACCTCCTTGTAGTGCAGGTGAAGAAATCATGAACGGTGGTGGTGGTGGCGGTGGAGGGGGTATTGGTGGTGGAGGTAGTATTAATGATGTTGAAGTTGAACTAACTGAAGGAATAGGAAATTCTGACAGATTGTTGTAAAACCTTGTTTTATCATGTTGCATCAGACTAGGTGATCCTGTGGCAGCGATGGCAGCAGTAGTAGTGGCAGTATCACTCTCACCATCTGCATCTGGACGATGAAGAAAACGATCTCGATCTACGTCAGACGTGCTTGATTTACCTAATTCTTGAGCTAAAATTAATTGAGCAATTTGTGATCTTAAACGAGAAAGTTCAGCTTCCAATTGTGAAATACGATTTGATCTAGATGATGAATGAAAATGTTCATCAGAGGTGTTTGTAGTGTCTGAAGTACTATTATTATTATCATACAGTTTGCCATTATTTTTGGTAGAATCTCTAAAGCGCTTTCCTATTTGAGAAAAAAATGTTTTTCAGCATGAAGAAAAACGTTTAGGATTAGTAAGTCACTACTCACCAATAATAAAAATAAACATGCTTACGACAATTGAAAAGTCTGTCAAATCCAAATATTCAATTGTCAACTCAAATACGTGCAGTGGTGGTTGTTTGCACATAAGAACAAGTTGGGAGAAGTCAAGCCAAAAACGGATGTATTATCAGTGTTCATAAAGCCATTGATCAGTAGTCGGGTGTGAGTCGTGCGAAGGTGTTGACTTCCTGTTTTAGGTCCATATGATGATCACAATGGATAGAGTTTCGAGACTTCAGCTATAATACAGCTTGAAATCGGTAGCAATATCACAGATGTATTCACTTATTATCTTCTACCAAATCATGAGTTTTATTTCTGATAAATGCGTCTTTTTTTATAACTGTATTCACTGTTTTTGTTCTTACTACTACAATTATAGTAATTCAAAACTCCATTGTTTAGAGTGCATGTTTTTTCTTAGAATCTACGTGTTATTTATTGAAAAGTGACTGATATCAATCACTTATTATATCGATGGAAAAGTGCTTGAGTAATTTTGTTTCAAAATTTTATCGTATGCAACATAAAAGAAATCAATTGTAAAAATAAATGAACAGCATTTTCCCCATAAGATTGTGAAGTTTCATTGAAATCATGAACCGATCAATGTTAGGCCACCATTGAAAACCTGGAAGCACTGAACAGTCGTTTCGTTCCAGTAGTGTGCATCCACAACTCTGCTCGTGGGCGCCCAACCAGTGCTCCCAGGTTTTCAACGATGGTCTAACTTGGATGGTTTCATGATTTCGATAAAATTCAACAGCCTCCAGAACCCCATTTTGTGAGAATGAATTTCATTAAACAACGAAATAACATGGACAGATGTCACTCGAAATGGATATGGTGACATGGTGTAGAAGAGAAATTTGTATAGGACTGAGATCTTTTGGTTTAGTACAAGTGCCTAATTGAAAGGGGTGGGTCGCAGGAATCATGTAACTCAATGACATGAGACGTTTTCAGAAATGATTCGGAAAAAACGCAGTGGAGGACCCACTTTAGTTTTCTTTCATATTCTTTATAAAAGGATTTTTTTACTGATTGAACGAAATTTGTTTTATTTGGATTCCAAATGAACTGATTTTTTAAAATCAAATATCACTTTCGTCAACTTATAAAACTGATTACTTGATCTTGATCTCTTTCTATTTTCTTACAGACATTGTTATTTTACGCTGTGTAGCGCATTCCTTCGGTGAGATTTGTGACTAACAACTCTATTACTAATGTGTAACTAGTCTTCTTTCATAGTGTAACTTTGTTTTTGTGCTTTATTTGTTAATTGTAAACAAATTTTTACCTGTCCGACCATATTGAACAGGTTATCATTGTGCTTGCCCATGCTAAGAGTTGATTGGTGTTGATGTGAGTTTTAATTTAAGTTAATTGCTATTTATTGTAGAATCATTAATTATTTCTAGATATATTCATACATTAACATTTTAAAAAGCGAAAATAATCTTCTGACTCTAACTGACCTCGAGTATGTTGATGTCAGTGAATCTAAAATCTGTTTTACCGGAATGTTTGTGCTATACAAGCAAATTAATAAGAGGTATACTTCCGTGATTAGTTCAATAGATAAGATTATCTAACAGATGAATGTCATAATCCAGCAACACTTCAAATATTTCATATTCTTATGATCGTGACATGAATTACTAAGGCTGGTTGTACAAGTGATTCTAAGTAGATAACACTTACTATGAACATAACATTTTATGGAAACAATGAGTGTATGTTACTGTTATATCCCGACGAGAATATTGAAAGGTAACTAATGGGATCTATCGATGGACTAATATTATACGTATATTCTTATTGTATGACTATTAAGTAACTATATTATATGTGTATTCATTATAAACTTTAGTTTGACCTATTGACTATTATCATACGACTTACTATTTTTGAGATATTCCCAATTTATTAGTAACAATCTCTCACAATCACAGCCACTTTGGGCTTGATCTTGTATAATTGTTATTTTCTATTTATGGTATGATGTGATCTGGTTGGTTTGTACATAAACCCATTATGTTTGAAGTACATGATTCGGTTAGTGAAGGCTGATATTGGTGTTCTGGACCTAACAGGCAGGACTAGGCAGAAAAAGAACCAATAAGAACTCTAGGCTGCTCGTGCTGATGTATGCGTCACTAGCTGGTCGTATAAGTCAGAGTACCTAAATTGACAATCGTAGTTCGCGATAATCGTATAAGCTAAGGACATAGTAGTTGCACTTTAATGTAATTAACACTGATATGTGTTACAGTACGTGTGCAAAAAAGATCTTTACGAATGATCAGTCACGGAGCTATGACCAATCTCATGTTTGCCTAATCCTTCAATGCTGGTCGCATTCCATTTTGCAATGTAGTCATCAGTCTAAATGACCTAAAAACACCTGCACTATGCTGATAATGTTAAATATTTGGAAACAATCGGCAGGAAACATTGCTCAATCTACGCTTTGTGCTACTTTACACTTGTTAGCAATCCTGAGAGAATTGATGCTTTATGCGGGATTCAAACTCGAGTTGTCTAATTTTTTAGTATTATGAGATATAACTACTAAACTATTGTAGCATTTGCTGACCACTGAGTAGTAGTGGCCAATGTCATGTTTTTCTAGTCCTCTTTAGTGCTGGTATATGAACAATTTGTCCACTAAACTGAGATGTTAAGTGGTTGGAACTAATCTGTACGATACCCTAGATGATGATTGACCCTCGTAAGCAAGGTGTACCTAAAATCTTGCGGGAACTGATTCACTCTGTAAGATTCCCTTAAGATTCAACTTACATATTGGTAATAAGTGTCGACTAGCACAAGGCCTAAGCTAGAAGTTCCTGCCGATCAGCTCTAACCATCTACCATCATAAACTTATTTTTGCTACAGTACGCAAAATTTTACATTCAATTTACCGAAAATATACAAAAGATAAACTCACATACCTCTTTTATTTTTTCGACGATATCTATAATTATTGTACTGTAATTTGTTTGATGATTTCATAATTAATTTCTGACTATCATTATCACCAGTATTGTTTTTTAAAGATTTTATTTCAGAATTTGGGAAACTAGTATATGTATTGGAAAATGAATCAACATAATACACTGGAATATTAGACTCTTGATCATTTTTTAAATTTTTACGTGAATTAGAAATAGAAAATGAATTTAAAACAGTATTTCGATTGTCATTATAACAGGGTGAAGAAGTTAGATATGAATTCTGATTTTGTTCGTCATAATTATCATCATTACTGTTAATAAGATCTGTATAACTTGAAGTATATAACTAAAATAAAATAATATGTAGAATAAATAATAAAAAAATAGATTAATTATTGTGATCATTAAATAATGAAATTATCAAAAATTTTTAATAACTACTAGAGAATCGAATTTCTATCAAGAGGAATTCTTATTAAGATCCATTTTATAATTTACTGTTAACAATACTGATCTCTTATTCATAAATTTATTTATTATTTATTTATTTTAACACAGATATTGGGACAAAGAGGCACCAAATACATATGCGCCACACAAATCTCATTCGATATGTGTGAGGGCTGTGATACTGCCCGGGTACCCAAACCGAAGCAGGTTGTTTTCTTAGGGGGCCACTCCCCGAGTCTTCGACCTGAAGGTCTGATCCACAAGGCAGTGGAGCATCGTAAGGAGATGCAGTCCCATGATAGCCGGTGACCAACGATTGGTTCATACGCCATTTGTTCCCGCAGGACACTGGAGTCCATGTGCACCATTGGTTTGGAATCCGGTTAAAGCGCCGGACATTCGCTGTTCGTCCTCTCATTTTTGTAAACAACACCCCCGCCACGAGAAGGCAGTGAATAGGACTTCCCTGTCAGAGGCTATATACGCGTGGCCATGTGAGAGCATTTCGAGAGGGAGAGCGGACTCTCCCCACTCTCGGCCGTACCAGGGCATTTGGGGGCTATTCATAAATTAATTAAGTATTAAGAGATATAGGGGAAGATCCTTGCAAATTGTATCGTTAAACGTAAAATGTACACTGCAGATACAGTCAGTAACAACGTAAAACTTCGTACGTACGTACGTACGTCAGTTCGAGTTGCCATACCACATTAGAACAGAGATGCAGTTGTCGATTCAAATCCCGTAGTGGTAGAAGTAGTAAGAGTATAAGCAGTAGTCGGAAACTTTAGGGTCTGAAGATGTTATTCAGGGAGTATAATCCAGAGAAATAAACTTGGAAAGAGAAAAAAAGGGACATGAAGAATTCAGAAGATTAGAATTTGGGAGAACACAAAGAGTGGATGCACATGCGCCATTGCAAACGATTTCGAGCAGATACATCTCTCTATGATAATACTTCTAGATAGGGAATCGATATTCTACACACTTAGAGCATGAGCCATGCCCATGTAATTGTTTATCTATTTATTATATTTTAATGTTTAACATAGCGCTACTGATGTACTTGTGGATAAGACAAATGGTTCCACGAGAGGGGTGACATTGGTGAAAAGTGATAAAACATTGAGGGAGACTAAGATATCAGTCTTACAGAACTACCTTTCAAACCACGGTGTCATTTCACTAACTAACCACCTCTATTTTTATTCTGCCCTAGAGTCGGTGATTAATTCTTAATACAGAAGCCACGGGGATGATATTTACGAAACATTCCCATTTCACCAAGGCTGGTGTTTCAAGACGATGACACTAATTGCATCCAAACAAATTGCCGGGTTACATTACTACCATGATCTTTCCACTGGATGTCATTTTAGTGGTCCTTTGAAGATGGCGATGATGAAATTCCGCCAGTCGTTAAACATGAACAAAGCTAGGTTTAATAAACACAGGAAGGACCTGCTCTCATTAATAATAAAAAACCGAATATACTTACCAAATATAAAGTGTACATAATTTTGTACATGAAAAATAAACATAATAAGTTCAAATTAAAATAAAATAATAATAAATGAGCTTACCACATTGGAATCTGATGACGAACACGCACAATCATCATACTGTTTTGCATTTTTACTTAATAATACATGACTATAAATATTTAATCTCGGAGCCAACGAACCGGTTGGTAAAAATTTAACTACATATCGAATTGAGCAAAATGAACGTACGTAAGTTAGCTAGTGAGGGAATAAAAACAAAACACAATTGATTTAATAACAATGATTTTACGTTAGACATAGGTAATTGAGAATCAAATTAATAAAAACCGCAATTTTTTAGTTTATTTCGGTCTAATTTTATTGTGAACTGCTGTCAGCGATTGCAAATCGCTCAAGAAATGAATGTCGAACGTCCAACAAATACTATGAATATTCATACTTGTTCAGTAATATCATTGAGAAATCACTCATTTAGGTGTGATAAATCCTTTGTCTACATGCTGTCGAAGTTACAAGTCTTAGATAATGAAAGAAAATCGGTCAAGAGAATTGGAAACAAAAAATGAAGAACGCTGATGGGAAAGTTACTTCTTAACGAAAATTAATATTTTGAATGGAATAGTAGCTGAATGAGGAAAGTGGAGGAATCCCAGTAGCCAGTTTAAATTATATTAGAGAAATGTAGGTGGTTGATAAGTTGAGGTTCACGAGATAACTGATATTAGTGGTTATCATTTTCAAGTGACCTAATAAAACAAGGGCATCTCTACATACATCTTTAGCTTTTGATCAATCTATCGGTTGATGACTTCCGTTTTGCTTAACATCTTATGTTTACCTTGAGATACTACTGTAGAATGCAGGATACTACCTAAACGATGCAGTTGTATTAGATCATACGTTTTATTTTCTATCTATTGAACAACTAGAATACATTTCGTTTCGCAAAGACAAGAGTAATCAGCACACACACAAACCATCAATCGAACAAATGACAAAATCTGTAATCAAGACATTAGAGCACCAGTAACATTCTTATACATAGGTATTTTTTAAATAATGAGAATTCTAAGGATTAAGCTAAATTATTATTGGGATCTTACAAAGTAGTGACACGCAGATTTATACCAGACTTACCAAGTGTTGCAACATCATATTCAACGGGTATGTAGACATCTAAACTGGTTGAATGTCATTTTATTCTGAAAAATAACTTCTGTAATTGTAATTATGCATTTAGTCAAATATGAAATATGTTGATAAACAAATACTGAATAAAAACGAAACCCACTGACTAATAAAAAAGAATGAAGATGTTTTAGCGAAGAAAACTTTCTTTTCAATTATATCAATTTTATTGAGCTTTACAATCATATTTAAGGGTAATCTTTTACATGTATTAGTCAACAATAAAAGAAAACAAATTTACCAACGATAACCACAAGTATCAAGTAGGAAAGTTCATAAAAATGAAGTAGTATGGCATCGTTGGATATAACAGTCTACAAACAAGGGGGGCGTTGATTCAGAATAACTAGTTGCCGAAAGTTTTTAAGTAAAACGTGAAATGGATATTGCATTATTTAGTAAAATAAGACTTATCGCTTGTTGCTCGAAGGACAATGTTCTGTAGGTTGGCCGAAAAACAGTCTGTTACAAGAGGACCCAATGATTCCAATGCAACATTATCTATTTGTCTAGTAGTAGATCTTTTAGGTAGTATTTGCAACTTTGATGTTGACTTCTTCATGGTCAGTATGATCGTATAAAAAATAGTTTCGTGAACAGAGAAGTGGTCTAACGATATCACTTTTTTTTCCAATACATTGACGTTGGTTGTTGGATTCATGAAATCAAGTCTTTTGATTTCGTGATAGAGGACACTATCGTTCGAACCACGATCGAGAAAATCTTGTTTTTATAAAATATGTATGGGTAATCTATTCATCATTTGTGACGAAAAGTGACCATGATAAGGTACTAAAAGATTTCAATAACTGCACTATCCAATCACGTTCAAAATAAAACCTCGTTCGGATTCGGAACTTTATTTTCTTGGTGTTTTACTGAGACGAAAACCATATGGATCTCTACGATTATCGATATTCATAAAGCCACCCTGGAATGAGCAGCATAAAAATTTCCATAGTTGGGTGCTGTTGAGTAAGAACAGAAATCTAATTTGTCCTCTATCCTCAAGAACAAAACGAATACACACGGAAGACGCAATCGAGGGTGAGCTGAATAAAATTCGAAAAATACTTCAGGAAGATGGTTTGAGACCAAGTTCATTGATAATATCCTGGAATCAAAATGCCAAGTTAAAAGTACTCTCATAGGCTTAAAGAAAGTATTATTTATGAACAAAGAAGATACGGTTGCGGAGATAAACAGACTATCCAGATCCCTAAGAGACACTATTCGGCGGAGCTCCGAATTCTTTTCTCCAGTAAGAACTTCATTCGGTTAAGTGTAAAAGATAAACCTCCGCTTTGGGCTACCTCAACGTGCATTTTTCAGTTTACTTGTTTTTGTGGAGGAGTTTATACTGGCCATACAAAGTGTGCACACATCAAACAAATATCCGAGTATTATGTTGTATAGCTACCTAAAGAGGGATGCAAATCATTCAGCGGCTCAATCCTTGAACACATGGTTAATCCTCGTCACGTGCAATTACGAGAATCGACATTCAAGATTATCTACAAATTTAAAAGTAGTTCGAAAGTTTGGATAAAGAATTTATGCATAGCTGAAGCTATAGCAACTCACCGCTTTAAACCTAACCTGTGTACGAAAGAGTCACGTCCTAATTCTTAAATTTTTCACGGTCTTAGGGCCCCTCCTAATTCTGTAAGTCGTAAGTGCTAACTATTACCTTATTCACCAACCTTTTTTTCAAGTAGAATAAAAAGTTATTTTTTGGATTTATCGTATAAACAACTATTTCTTATTACGTCCAAAACTATTCGAAGCTTAATTCCTTGATAACTTTTGATCATTTTGCTAAGTGAAAAAAATATCCATTTTATAAAATACTAGGAAAATTTCGGCAGCTTTGAAACAACGCCCTCCCAGTTAAAGACTGTTATATCCAATAATTGGAGTCCTTTAATAATCTTTGTTTTATCAAATCAAGTAATATCGCTCCATTTTTATAAACTTTTTCATTTATTATTTGAATGCTTCTGATTATTTTTGGTAATTTTTCAATGATTTAACACCTATTTTCTAAATGTATATCCGATTAGCTCGAAAAAAAGACAAGAGTCTTGTTAAACGACGCTTCTGAAACTCAATTAATTAAACACCTTAGGCAAAAACTAGAGGATTGTGAAGCAGCATTTCGAAAAATATTTTAGTATTGCTGTTTAAAATTTTCAATTTATAAGTAAAAATAAGCTTTATACAGAGCAAGAAAATGTAGAATTATATTTGTCAGTGTTGAGGCTTAACGTTAGATCAAATAAAGAATAACCAAATATCACTCAAGGTTTTTTTTCGGTAGATATGGCATGTTAACTATGGACAACATAAATACTAGTTTCACGAAATATATTTTGAATGCTCCTTATGGACATGTCATTTGATGCAATCATATGCAAGAATAGTTTACACATGTGTTCGTGTTACTTGAAGACACTTCCTAGAGAAAGTAATGAGAAAGGTACATATTGGCTACACATTACCATAAGTAAAAGCGTTCCACATTCCTTGATTGCCATCTTCAAGCTATAAATACAACTAATTGTAACTTTTAATTTTGCTTAATTATGTCATGATGGTTATCGACATTAAATATGACGAAGGCTTATGACTGTTACACATTCCACATGCCCCCAAATGCCCTGGTACGGCCGAGAGTGGAGAGAGTCTGCTCTCCCTCTCGGAATGCTCTCACATGGTCACGCGTATATAGCCTCTGCCAGGGAAGTCCTACTCACTGCCTTCTCGTGGCGGGGGTGTTGTTTACAGAATTGAGAGGATGAAAAGCGAATGTCCGACGCTTTAACAGTGTTGGTGGATATGGAGAGTCCACCTAGGGGAGTTGGAAAACCCTGATTCCAAACCAATGGTGCATATGGGCTTCAGGGTCCTGAGGGAACAAATGACGTATGAACCAACTGCTGGTCACTGGCTACCATGGGACTGCATCTATAGGTGACCTTGGCGAAGGTCAGTCAGCTATGAGCCATGTCACCCAGTCTCCAATCATTGGTTACGATAGTCACGCGAACCCAACCAAGTAGTCTGCATCTACCAACATGGCTCACACTAGAAGTTAGTGACTTTGCGCACTGCTGACACGTTTTGGTTTGGCCGCCCCCAACTCTCTTTTAACCATCCCTAACACTAGTCAGCATTGCGCGTCGTGGTAATCGGTGTCTAGGCATACGCAACATGTGGCCCAACCATCTCAGTCGATGAAGATTCACAACCTCATCAACTGATTTACCATCATTCCCTAATACCCTGCGTCCAACCTCATTATTACTTACCCAGTGACCCCAGCAGATGCGAGCAATATTTCTATGACATCTGTGGTCAAATACTAGTAGCTTACGAGTGTCTTCTACTCTTCATGGCCACGTTTCGCAGCCGTAAAGTAGAACAGAACGAACTGCCGCGCAGTATACTTTTCCCTTAATTGATAGACGGATATCTCGCCTTCGCCATAGATGACGTAAGTTGGCGAAAGATAAACAAGCTTTCTGAATCTGTCCAAAGATTCCGCCAGACACCAATCCATTAGAGCTGATCAGACTTCCAAGATAAGTGAAGTTGTCGACGCATCCAACTACTTCACTAATCATATTTTTATCGATATCTGATGCTATTGATTGCTTGGCGATTGTCCAGTAAGCTGACTGCACGTTGTTACACATGTCAAGATAGATTTGATCTGCCATAACGCTGGAGACAGTGTAATCTCGCAGTGCCATTGTCAAATGTGTCGAAATTGACTGGGTAATAGTGTGTTTAGCCATTCCTACTTCAAACCAGTAATTTAACGACTAGACTTTTTCACAATCCAGGTGATTAATACCACTGAATCTTCAAGTCTGTAACAATTGCTTTAACCGAATATTCCTCAACACAGATTAAGTTTTATTGATTGTAATACGGTGTTTCTTAAAAGTATTTGCTTCATCTCAAGATTTACGACAAATGCTGTTTAACAACAGGTCTACACAGGCCTGTTGAGTGGGTCTTCATACTTATTAAAGGTCTTATTATTTTACATTTGTAATAAAAACTCTCATTCCAAAGCCAGTGTCAGTTTGCGGCAGAAAAAAAACAAAGTATCAAACTCAAGAAGCCAATGATGGTAAGGATTACCTATGGGAATCAAACGAAGTGATGAAACTGCATGCTTAGAGGGTAAGAAATCTGGTTTTACCATTATGCATTTAGAGCCTATTTTAGGTGTTCTGGATAAGCCTTAAGGCATACTGATAGACTAGTAAGATTTACGAAAGCGGATTTGATGTTTTAAATTTCGACTCGGGTGTTAAACTGTTTTATATCTTTGTTTCTCTCAAGGCTATTCTTGAGGCAATCGCAAAAATGTTCAAAAACAGAGACCGAATAGACATAAGGTGGGATTTCGTTTTCCTTACCAAGTGATCAGCGTCTGAGACACCCTACTCGAACAAGTAGTACCAGCCGAATCGGTATACACTTTCATAAACGAATTGAGGCAGGAGTAAATTATATGGACGGACCAGATTTCGTCGTCCATTATATTCTTGGATCAGTTCGCGATAGAAACCCCAATAATCCATACACAAAGATTGTAACCCATGTTGGAACTAATTATCACTATTGGCTAAATTCTTTTCATCCCAAACTATTTTATGACCGAACACCATGTAGGCTAACAGTTAATTGTTAGCCTACATGGTGAAACTAATTAGTTTCAGATCATCCATACACATGATTTCAACGAGGACCAGTAACAAAGAGATTGACAGATTCAGATGGTTCCAGACGGAATAAAAGAAGCTGTCGCCTAATATGCCTCCGAATCTAGCAACAATGGACCACTTTTAACGTGTATACTTTTAGTAAGGAAATTAACAGACATTAACAGAACTTACTCCAAGAAACCGCGATTCACGCCTGAAGGTGTAAGTACTGCAACTAAACGTCTACGCAACAAATAAACCAGTCTTCATTAATAAGGACAGTAATTCATATCACTTTTACTTGTTATCGTATGTAAATTATGTTTTTAAGATCCTAGTTACAAGTGAGCAATGGCAGCAATTAAGTCGATGTGACCTTGTAGCGGTAAATAAATCCTCAAAATAAATAGCCCTGTAAGTTTTCGACATTGGATGCTGACCATATGTTTTAGTGGACTTGTAGCGGTAAATAAATCCCCAAAATAAATAGCTCTGTAAGTTTTCGACATTGGATGCTGACCATATGTTTTAGTGGACTCATCTAGCTGAAGGCGCTCGGTCAGGCATCCGCACCAGATCACGTGTGGTAACGCCGTGCTCAACATCAACCGCAATCGCTAGCCAGATTAGATCAGAGAATTTCGATATATTGGTCATCGCCAAATATACTCTTCCGATCTCCTCGACTCTGTCTTTTGATTTCTCTGGGCGGGAACGAATCATATTAGGTGTTACTGGTAGAAGCGTTGTCAAACACTGAATACCTGTGTCATCCTTCAACCTGTTCAGGCTTCAGATTCAGATTTGTGCAGTAAGAACCGAAGGCCTACAGCCCATTTTATTTCTTTTCTAGTATGCTTCTGTGGAGGTCTAGTCTTCTCTTGAATGATTCGATTTAAGGCGTGGACACCACTGCATCGGGTTTGATGACTCGGTGTGAAAACCTGTATGCCACGGGATTTTGTTCCTTCTTTACTTTTCTATCCGCCTGCTATTTCGTCTAACATGTCCTGATCTGGTGATAAGGAAGATAGAAGACATATTAGATCCAAAATCATTTCTTAGCATTCTATGCATCGAAATCAGACCACCCCTTAATCTGCTATAGGACAGGGTAAAGAAGTCTAACTTTTCAAACTGCTCGTTGTATGGTAAACCCCAGAGTTCTGGAATTGAGTGGGTAACTGCCCTTTGTGCTTTTTCCAGGACATCCAAGTCACTTTTTAGACAGGCGCTTGCAGCCTGAACGCAGTTCTCATGCTTGGTCCTCACATGGTAGTATCTAACTTGGTGGATGTCCTTCATAAGGCCCAGATTGCTTTGAACTCCTTAGCTGTGACCTCCCAGCAATGGGCCACGGTTTTGAGATTATGGCTTACTGTCAACCCGAAATCCTTGTGAGACCTGAACACAGGTATAGCCACTTCCCTAATGCTGCACCTATTAACCTTTATATCCCCTAATTGGTTGTAGACATATTTTGCCACGTTAATAGGCATCAGTCACTTTTTAGACCAATTAATCACATTATTTAAGTCCGCCCGAAGTACGCATGCATCTGAGTCTCCCGTTATTACTTGCCAGAGTTTTGCATCGTCAGCGTATAATAACATTGTAGACTGTACTATACTTGGGAGATCATTTACATACAGTATAAAAAGTAAAGGACCTAGGACAGAACCTTGAGGTACTCCAATAAATGCTGGTCTCCAGATGCAACACTTGGAATTTATTCTTGCTTTCTGTCTAAGACCTACTAGAAGATCCTTAAACAATTTTAAGAGAGGTCTGGCAATACCAGGATTTTCTAACTTCAATAGCAGTCTATTTGTTGGCACCTTGTCAAATGCCTTACTGAAGTCTATGTATACAACATTCACTGAGTTTCCTCTGTCCAGAGCCTTTATCCACTGTGCTCTTGCTATAAGGAGGTTTGTTGTGCAAGATAAACCATTTCTGAAACCATGTTGTTTGCTGTTTAACAAGTCGTTGGTTGTCATAAAAGTCATTATGGTTTTTTGTCTATTCTTTCCAGTATTTGAACTACGACGCTGGTGAGGCTTGCAGGTCTGTAGTTCGATGGAAGTCGTCTTGGTCCTGTTTTATGTATGGGAGTGATGATTACATCTTTCCACCCCATAGGTAGCACACCTTGGTCAAGCGACATATTGAATATCACAGTTAGTGGGGATGTAACATATTGTGCAATATGTCTCTGGATTTTGGGGTGTAGTTCATCCGATCCTGTTGACTTTTCCGTGTTTAATGTGCTAACAGCCTTGAGTACATCGTCTCAATCAAAGTCCACGGTGATCAGACGGCTTGTCAACTTTGTATTTGGGTCTACTTCATCGTTTAGAAGATGCTTCTCAGTAAAATCTGCCTCAAAATAGATTGTTTTTTTCTGATCGTACTCTATCATGTCAGATCCACTCCCTTCCTTAATCAGGTTGGAAATCCAATGCTGCATCCTTTTTCTGTAACTTACGTATGAGAATAGTCTCTTAGGCTGCTTGAGTAAAGATTGTGCCAACTGTATTTCATATTTTCTCTGAGCTTCCCGGACTTAAATTGTACACATATTTCTTAACGACCTGTAGGGTTCGATCGTACTTGCCGTACCAAGGCTGCTGGTAACGTTCCAACATTTCTTCTTTTGTCTTACTAAACGTCGGATACCCCAGCCTATCCGGGGATGGACATGCTTTTTCTTTGGGAATGTCTAAGGTATATTGTACGAGTTACCCGATTGTATGACTGCCTGAAATGAGTCCCTGCCTTTCTGCTGATGATTCTGAGCCAATTTTCCAGTTTTCGGCTGATGATGCAGAGTTTATAGCCTCCATGTGTGGGGACGTGCCAGTGCAACTGTTTGACAGACCATCTAAGCCATGAACTTGAATAAGATGGCTGCGTGATCGCTTCTCTCTAGAGGTGGTAGGAAAGTCATTTGACCGACAGCATCATCGTGTGTGAAGACTAAATCCAAAAGAGAAGAGGAGCTTCTTAAGTCATATCTTGTGGGATGTTTAGTGTGTTGTAATGAAGCTAGTGCAGTTGAGGTTTCTAACAGTTTACAATCAAATGACGTTGTCAATGACCCTAATTCCAACTTCGCCAAGTTTATATACGGTGCATAAGATTCGCGTACTATAGGGCTTTTACTCTTATTACACCAAAACTTAAGTTTGCTTGGGAGCAAGTCATCTACTACACATTCTGTACTGCAGTATACTACAACTAATTCAATATCTTGCCGTCTAACTTTCAACTTGCAACGCACCAGTTCACATGTTCCTGTATCGTGTTCCATTGTCTTAACAGTTCATATGGTTAAAGTAATCTTCGTGTACAGGATAACCCTCCCTCCTTTACGGTTTAATCCATCAGCCCTATTGGATAAAAAAACCAAAAAGCTGGATTTCATTATCAAGCACTTCTGACGTAAATCATGTTTTTGAGACAGCAATGACACCCGGTTTCTCTATATCCACCACTGTACTGAGCTCCGCCATTTTATTTAGTAAGCTGCGAGCTTTTGTGTAGTACACCTTTAATTCTGTGGAGAACTTTTCTTTAGCACCGGGAATGGTTTGGGGATCGTTTTGTTCTGAAAACCCTTAAGAAAGAGGTTTCTATGACCGTTTTGGTGGTGCTCATCCATTTTCACTTCTGTCGATCGTCTCTTAATGCGGTCAACCAGGCTGAGATCCTCACGGCCGTTTATTGTGGATTCGAGTAGTTTGCGTGAGTTTCCAAGTATCATATTTCTTTCTTCAGCCCATGCAAATGCAACCTTCAAGAGGCGGTTTTTCTGAGTACTTTCAGAATCTAGCTTTTGCCCTATTCTTTAAAGCTTTCAGGTGATAACTCTTGAAACTGTTTCTGGGAGTAGCTTGCTTATTAAGAACTTAATGTGACTGAGGTCGTGCTCAAATTTGACTTTGGGTTCCTTTTTGGCAGATTCACTTAACTAATGAAAAAAGACTGAACTCTCAGTCAGATCCGTCTGAACACTCTGTGGAGATTTAGTTTCTGAAATCTTCTCTTCCCTACAATTCGGCTCCGATTCGGAGTTAGACGCAGAGGTCACACTCTATCTACTTAATTTTCTTTTTCTGGGTGTGACTGTAAGCCAGTCATTAATCTTATTTTGTCTCTTGATCATATCCTCTACACCGCTGAAACTTTGCTCGTCTGTAGTCCGTTTTGCGTTGATGTCTGTATCCTGAACTGAAAGCGTATATTCAAATACCTTAGTACTGTCTATAATTGGCTTCTTCTTAGCGTGCTTTTTCTTCTTCCTTGCAACATGCCTACGTCGATATGCCTATTATCTGATTCGTTAGTGAGGTCCACCTTTATGGTCTCATTCAAATTCAGAACTAGGCTCGTGATGAAGAGTTTTAGATGTTGATCCTTCAGTGAGACAAAGAGAGTCTCAACCCGACGATGATAGACCTTTGATTTCAAAAGTTTTTGTGGCATCTTAATAGACAACCATATGTTGATAACTAATTGCCCTAAATAAACAAATTACTGACCACTCGACATTTGAGCTCACTATGTCATTTGTACCGAACACGAGTGCCTATATAAGATCACTTTTCAGATTATCGCAGAATGTAGCAGCCTTTATAATTGGTCGGCCTGAAGTCGTATGTTACGATGTTTGGCACACCACCCAAATGTTTATATTACCTGAATGCCAGTGACTAATTCCTAGCTTGTTCTGTAAGCATTACAGTAGAACTGATTTGGATACCGGCATTGTCCAATTCTGTCGTACCAGGTCTAAAATATTCTGAGCCATATCTCATAACGTCTCTAGCCACTTTGTTACACCGTCTCTCAGACCCCAGCCAGGGAGTCGTGAAGGACCAACACAAGCCATTCCTTTACAGCTTTCTTTCGTACCGCGACACCAAGTCATACACTGACCACCTCTTTGCCTTCTCCAACCAGTCCCAGAGTCGGCAAATAATGCACGACGTGGAATTCTCTGGGACGACATTCGTAGAACACGTCCAAGCCACCGAAGTCGGTGTTTCAAGATGATGACACCAATTGCATTATCGTCTCTGTGCCCGAACACACGATGCCGAACCTCTGCATTACTAACATGGTATTGCCACTGGATGTCAGCAATCCATCGGAGACAACGATGATCGAACACAGGGAGTTGTCTAACGCCCTCAACTCGGAGAGGCCAGGTT